TCTTGCCCAGACTCTTGCAATAATGTCCAACAACGGCCTCTCTGTTCTAAGTTATGCTTTTACCAAAAGGCTACCTACTGCTCTCAGGATCCTCATAAATATGTGAGATGAACTGTAACAAGATATGCCTATAACAGCAATGATTTTATACCACTTAACTAGATGAAAGAAGGAAAATGAGGGGCCGAGAGATGGCTCAGAGTGTTTGCTGCACAAGCATGAAGACCTGAGTTTGAATCCCCAGCAACCATGTAAAAAGCCAGGTTTGGCAGTGACGTGTACCTGTAATCCTAGTACTAAGGAAGCTGAGACAGGAAGACCCCTGGGGCTTACTGCCCAGCCCGTCTAGCCAAATAGGAAAGCTGCAGGTTGAATGAGAGACCCTGTCTCAAAAAAAGTAGGTGGACAGCCTATAAGCTCCACAGGCACATGCACACTTGAATGTGAAACCACACAAAAAAAGGAGATAGCTACTAAGGTTAAAATGATACATTGACACTAGAAAATGAGTCTTGAGGTGGGCATGGTGACCCACACTTGCAATCCCAGCATTCAAGAGGCTGAGAAAGGAGGACTGGCTTGAGTTCCAAGCTATCAGAGCTACATAGCAAGAAATCTGTCTCAAAAAACTATGGGGGGGGGCGGGGGTTGAGCTGGAGATGTCTCAGCAGTGAAGAGCATTGGCTGCTCTTAAAGAAGACCTGATTTCAAATCCCACATGGCAGCTAACAAAACTGTCTATAAGTGTGCGATTGTAAGGTTGTGTCTATGTGAGTGTGGGGGTGTGTGGGAGTGCTCAAATTCCATGTAAAGAATTCAAGAACTGAATAGGGAAATTAGTCCCAAGAAAAAATACACCTATCACTTGTCAGAGGATATAAAGCAATCTCAGTTACATCACTGCTGAAATGTATTAAGCCTTTCAAATATAGTAGTGGACATCACACAGTTTAACTTCCTCTGCTGTAATTTATTTAAAGTAACTAGACTATCTATTGATTGTTGCAAATTTATCCACATAAACTTATTTTTCATTTAAACAAAACTATAGTTGCATTCTTCCAAAAAAATAAACCATTAGTCTGGGGCACCTGTAATTCCAGCATGCCTAGAATCCCGATTCCAAAAGCAGAGGCAGAGGCAAGAGGATCAGGGTTCAAAGTCATTCTTTGGCTACATGTGACCTCAAGGCCAACTTGGGCTACATGAGACCCCACATATCAAAAACAAAAACAAACACCCCCAATAAGGTTTTTGGAACATGTAAATACTACTCCATATCTCCTTCCTAGGTATCACAATGCTAATGATTGTTTTTTACAATTCAATTCATTCTTTTTATCATTTTAAAATATTTTTTTTATTTTATGTGTATGAATGTATTGCTTGCACGTGTGTAAGTGCACCCATGTCATGCAATGCCTGTGGAGGTCAGAAGAAGACATCAGATCCCCTAGAACTGGAGTTAATGAACAGCTGTTGGCTGCCATGTGAGTGCTGAGAATGAAACCTGGGTCTTCTGCAAGAGCAGTCAGTGCTCTTAACCACTGAGCCATCTCTGCAGCCCCTGATTATCACTTTAAATGACTTTCCAAACATGTAGTTCTTTTTTCTTTTTAATGTGTATGTTGTGCAATGCCCACAGAGGACAGAAGAGGCTATTGGATCCCTGGAACTGGAGTTACCCACAGTAGTTAGCTGCCATGTGGGTGCTGGGATTTGAACCCTGGTCTTCTGCAAGAACAGCCAGTGTTTTTAACCACTGAGTCATCTCTCCAGCCCCCAACATGTAGTTCTAAAACAGATGATTTTTTTTTCTATATCAAAAGTTAGAATGGAGCCGACAGGATGGCTCACTGGGTAAAGGAGCTTGCCACCAAGCTTGACAACCCAAGTTTCATTCACAGGACCCACATGGTAGAAAGAGAGAGAGAATCAACTTCCACAAATTGTCCTCTGGGTTCCACCCAGGCCCACATATGTCATTTTTAAGTTAGAGCATTTCTGAAGGGAAAACAAACAATGTATGCCACTGTTAAGAGAGATTTTAATAATTATCCTTAAAAGTTGGGTTAATATTTTGAGTAAGTGAATACAACTGGGTAATCACTTTGAAATACTTGTCCATTAACCTTGTGTGTCTGCAGCAAACAAAAATATTTCAAAATTTAGTATCTTACCTTTTTTCTATTCACATCATATAAATTTGTTTTGAAAGACTATCAATAGGGGCTAGAGAGATGGCTCAGAGGCTAAGAGCCCTGGCTGCTCTTGCAGAGGACCGAGGTTTGATTCCCAGCACCCACATGGTGGCTAACAACTGTGGGTAACTCCAATTCCAGGGAATCCGACGCCCTCTTCTGACCTTCGCAGGTATTGCACAATATGGGTGCACTTAACATACCAGCAGGCAACACTCATTCACATAAAATAAAAAAAATTAATAATATTTATTTTTTTAAAAAGAAAGACTAAGCTGGGCATGGTGGCGCACACCTTTAGTCCCAGCACTCAGGAGGCAGAGGCAGGCGGATCTCTGTGAGGTCAAGGCCAGCCTGGGCTACATAGTGAGTTCCAGGACAGCTGGGGTATAGGGAGACCCTGTCTCATAAAGAGAAAAAAAAAAAAAAAAAAAGACTGGGGCTGGAGAGATGGCTCAGCGGTTAAGGACACTGGTTGTTCTTGCAGAAGACCCAGGTTCGAATCCCAGCACCCACATAGCAATTAACAACCGTCTGTAACTCCAGTTCCAGGGGATCCAACAGCCTCTTGTCCGCCGGCATTGCGCAACACAGGCGCACTTACCTAAACACAGGCAATACACACATACACATAAAATAAAAATAATAAAATATTTTTAAAAAACACTTTCAATAAAGCAAAGTAAAGTGGACATGGTGGCACACATCTCATCCTAGCACTAGAGAGGCTGAGGCAAAAGGATTGCCATGAGTTCAAAGGCCAGGCTAGACTCCATAATAAGACCAGGGATAGTCTCAGAAAAACAACACACACACACACACACACACAGCATGAACAAATACCATTTTAAAGAATGAAGGGATTCCTACTAACTCACTCTCTTCAGATCTTAGTCATTACCTTTTTATCCATGCCAAATGCTGCCCTGGTTTCCTCCTGTTTAATTGTGGAACACATCAGAGTTGTGAGTCCTCACGTAAAACATAATGCAAAGCACTGCTGAGTGCCCGGCCATCAGATTCCATCAGTAATACATTCCTTACACTTCCTTTTTTTTAAAGTATGTTCAATGAGTGTTCAAGTACTCCAAATCTAGTAACTGGCCTGACATCCAGAAAGTGGGCCAGTTTCTGCTTATAAGTCTTTGTGAGAATGCACAGCAAAATATTCACCCATGTACTATAAGCAACCTGTCAGTTTCAGATTGAAAAAAAATACTCCTGACTCCCTGTCTTCCATGCTCCACATAGGTTAATTATACATTTTCCATTTTTTCTAAATACTCGAATAGCCTCATTTGTTCTTCAAATGGATGTTTGATGTACTACTTAAAACTAAAATACTCTATTGCCATCATTTATATCAAATTTAAAAAACCAATAGTATCTGCTTCCTATTATACTCTATAGACATCTAGCTCCAAAGAAATCTTTCAAGCCGGGCATGGTGGTGCACGCCTTTGATCCCAGCACTTGGGAGGCAGAGGCAGGCGGATCTCTGTGAGTTCAAGGCCAGCCTGGTCTACATAGTGAGTTCCAGGACAGCTGGGGCTACAGGGAGACCCTGTCTCAAAAAGACCTCCCCCTCAAAAAAAAGAAATCTTTCAATTTAAATTAGTTCAAAAGACATTCATTCCTGTTGTCAGTTCAATATCAAAGTATGGGAATTCAAATAACATAAGCTGACATAAACATAAAATTACAGTCCTATGAAATTTCCTTCAAAATTAATTAAAATAATTTTCTAAATGGGGAAATTCATCTATTATTTAACCAAGATATACAAGTCCAAAAACACTCACCTATGTGTAAGGTTAAACAACAAAACTGAACTAAAACATTTAGCCACATATTTTCAGTCCTGAAAGTGGAAATCAGTCATCCTCCAAAAACCACCCAGAGAAAGTTTTCTAAGCACTAAAGAACTTTTCTAATTTTTTTTTTGCATTCCACAACATGGGCTGCTAAAGAAACAGCTAAGGAATTACAGCAGGAGGCCCTTTTCCTGTTATTCTGCAAAGACTGGGTTATGCAGGGAGTGTTTAATTGCCCCTGTACTACAGGATTTGTCTCAACAGCACGTGCCCTCTTAAAAAAAAAATTCTACTCAGAAAAAAAAAAAAAAAACCTCAAAATAGAGGGAGTTTTTGTTTCTTCCAGTTTATGAAGCCAAAAATACATCTGGAAAAAAAAGGAGTATGCTTCACTGATAGAGAGTTAAAAGAGCACCCTACAGTCAGAAAACTAAAATTGGTTTTAATGGATGGTCTGGTCAGAAATGTGTGCGGAGGGCTGACACAGGAATAAGGAATGACAGCAAAAATGAACAGTGCACTTCAGCAGAGACCACCTTTCATCCTACAGAGCCTGAATAGCCGCCACCATTACAGATGTCAAAATCAATATAGTGCCACGGACCATCCGCCTTCTTCCAGTAATAAAGGAACTAAAGAAACAGATTCCTTGTTCGAATAATCACAATTATGACTAAGAAAGAACTGTATGCAGCATGATGAAAATACCACAAGCCATTCTGCAAAAACACAACTATTGCTCGCTGAATTTAAACACACTCTGTCTCTGTCTCTCTCGCTACCCGATGCAAGGAATCTGGCCAGATCCTCCTGATCATTCAAGGGCAGCCCAGGCAGGAGCCGACCTGGTAGGCTTGCGTTCCCCTAGTCTCCACCACCTCCCTGAACCTGTGCGGGAATACACGCACGGAGAGGGGCTGGAATCAGGAACAAAACCCGGGCTAAGGCCACCACCGGGAGGAAGAGGAAGGGAACACACCATTACCTGTCCCAAAGGCTTTGGCTACCAGCCAGGCCAGATTGCAGGCGATTTTGGCCCTGGAGAAATCATAGTGGTCAAAGGGTTTGATGGCTGGAACAATGAAGGTCTTTCTCATCTCCCTGGGGTCTGCAGCATCCCCCATCTTTCTCCGCGGCGGCAGGGGATGGCGGGACGCCAACCTTCACATGGTGTGGCGGGGCGGGAGCTCCCCCGTGCGCCGCCGGCCCCGGGACATAGGACCGAGGCGCCCAGCCCGCGGCCGCCTGCCGGTCCCGCCGGTCCTCCGGGCCGCGAGCTAGAGGGGCCGCCGCGCCTTTGTCTCGATTAGTCACACGGGGAGGGAGGCGGCTGCGAGGGCCCGGAATGTTCTGGCGGAGGGAGTCCAACAATCACGTTGTGGAAAATGTCCCCGCCATGGCGATGCCCGCACGCCCGGCCTCCTCCCGGCCTCCCCTCGGGCCGCGGATGCGCGTGGCGGAGGCGGCCACCCAGCGCCGCCGGGCCGAGGCCGCGGGAGCGGCTGAGGAAAACGTCAAAATCCCCGAGGCGCGCGAGCCGCCCGCGGCCCGTCGCTCCCTCCGCGCGCCCCGCGTCGCCAGCCGCCGCCCGGTTCTCGTCCCCGCTCCCAGGGAAGCGGAGGCCTGGAAGACGTCACCAGCTGGGGCTCCGGGCTCTGGCCCTATCAGGTCTGTCCTTGTATTTTCCTCTCGCCTCTTGCTGCCCGGCGGCTGGCTCCCCCTCAGCCGCCGCCGCCGCTGCGGTTTTCCGGCTGCGGCACTGGATAGAGAGAGCAGATTCCGAAAATGAGCATGCGCCCTGGCGCTCCCGCCCCCGCCCCCGCCGCTTCCTCGCGCCGTCGCGATCCAGGCACGCAGCCCCGCGCACTGAGCATGCCCAGCCTCGCTCCCGCCCGCGCCCACTCGGCCGGGCTGCCCTTTAATCATCGCTTAGGAGTGCCCGCTTGAGTGGACATCCTCCACATCCCTGGTTTTGGGCTGCTGCTGCTTAACAATACTGAAAGAGGACAGGGAAGGAAGGGAGGGGAGAGAGACCTGGCGGTAGCCTTACACGCTAGTTAGTGGTTCAGCCAAAAGTATTTATTTCAAATGCTGAATGTGTCACAAACATATTATTGCCAACATGACTTACATACTCGCAGTAACCCTGAGACAGAGTTGTCACTTCTGTGGACCACGGAATTAAGAGACGGATGCAGTGAGTTCAAGCATCCCTGGGCTTTAACTAGGATTGAAGGTCAGATTTTAAAGTTCCAAACCTGTATTAATTTTATCATATCCAGATTCTAACTTGATGCCCCAACGTTAGCTTTCTAAGTGAGGGGGCAATCTGTCAGTACCTTCTGTCCCCTCACAAAAACAGAAATCCTTTCACAAAGCAAAAACAACACCCTTCATGACCTGTCTATAGGAGTTCATTTTGCTTCCCAAGTGGGCTGCTTTCTTAGACCTATGCCTCCTCACTAATTGTTCCTCTGTCCATCTGACTTCTCAGTCTTCAAAGCTCTTCATGTAGTCACTTCCTCCAGGAAGCCTTCTCTGATAGTTGCTGCCAACTTGCCAAGCAGAGCTAACACATAGGTACTTCCCCTATAGTTCTCAGGGCATTGTATTGTATGTCATTTATGTCAAAACACTTGTCAGGTTCTTGTTAAGTCTTGTTACTAATTTTGGAAAGCCTGTGTTGAAGGTGTGTGTGTGTGTGTGTGTGTGTGTGTGTGTGTGTATACACATATATGTGTATGTATACTAAATTGGGTGGGACAATAAGGTGAAAAGGGGATAAGGGGAAAGATTCTAAATACCAAATTGTATAAAAATCACAAAAGTTCAATTTAGAAAAAAAAAGTCAGGCTAAAGAGACGGCTCATTGGTTAAGAGCACATGATACTCTTTCAGAGGGTCTGATTCAGTTCCCAACACCCACATGACAGTTCACAACTATCTGTAACTCCAATTCCAGGGGATCCAACATCTCTTTTTGGCCTCAATGGGTGCCAGGCATGCACATGGTACACATACATACATGTAAGCAAAGCATTCACTCCCATAAAATAATAAATGAATTTCAAAAAAAGCCCACCACTTATTATATTATATGCCAAGCACCAACTCTGTCTTACATGGATGGCATGATCTATTTCCAGCACCTACATGACTCCCAACCCCACAGTAGTAGCTCCAATAATGTCTAGGGAGAAAGCATGAATGTTATTGTAGTTAACACTTAACTTGCTAATTCCTCACCTCTTATTTTAATACATTGTCCAGTTTAAATCATATAATCCCATGTTATCTTCATGTTACAAATGAGAAAGCTTAAATCTCAGGAAAAAAAAAAGTTAAATTGCAGAACTAGTGAGTGTAGATTCACAGTTTGAACCAAAACTATCTTATTCCAAAGCCCATACTTTGTACCACTGGCCTCCCTATGAAATGTGAGGGAGGAGCTCTGGACCCTATAATCTAAAAGGGTAGCTCCATCAGCAAGCCTCTCCCTTTTGATTCTGTTTAATCCTCACAAACACTCCTCCCTGAACCAAATAAGGCACTGCAGATAAGCCCTGCTAACATGTGCTGCAGGAAAAGAATGCCAGGGAGAATAATAATATGCCATAGGGTGATTAGCATTTTTTCAGTAATTAATAGGAGTTTTCTCATGGGCAAGGCCCTTTGTAAAATTAACATATAAATGCTAGTTGTCAAAGCACATTCATATGATAACTAATTTCCAAATCTTTTCTATGAAATACGTGCTCTTTATCTTCCAGTTCTAGATGCAGGATTGAGGATCATAGAGATTAAGTGGCATGATCTAGATTTCTTGCTCAATTTGTATCTGACTCCTCTGGCTTCAAATCAAACTGGGTCTTCTGTCTTTACTCCTCAGGTACTTTTCCCCAGGCTCTTTCTTTCTCTCTCTCTCTCTCTCTCTCTCTCTCTCTCTCTCTCTCTCTCTCTCTGGACTGTGGCTGACACATACACAAATTAACAGAACACCATGTAAAAGTGGTGCATGTTGTAAGAGAGAAAAACTACAAGAACATTGTAAGTGTGGGATGGGGGGACTAGGAAGATTTCTCAGAGACTTCTATTATATCTAATATTCTTAAATCCAACTTCAACTGGATTCTAGCACATACAAATCAAGTTAATCTATAGCCTAGGAAGGTTGAAAAGAGATTCTGAAGTAGTATTCTTGTTATTATAGTAATCTACAAGCAAATGGAAGATTCTCAAAGCCAGAGACTAGGCCTAGTAACTTCATGTTCCTTGTGATCTAGGCCAGTGCTTTGCTCAAAGAGGGTAAATGCTAGTTGAATCTCACTGAAAACTATTTCAACCTAAATAAGCTGGATGAGGAAGAAAAGAAAACAGACTGTTGTACTGACTTGTGCCTTGATTCAATGGTAATACTTTAGTAAGGATAGCATTACTGTGACCCCAGTTGGGAAGGAGTATATTTAGGAATGGGAAGGGGGGTAAATACCAAAACAATGAGCAGCTTTTACTTTCAGGGAGGCTGTGAAACAACATGGGGTCATAGTAGGAGGCCATTATTAACAGGGAAACACCCTGAGTATAAAGAAAGAGGATTCATTTTCAGGGCGGCAGACACTCTAATAGGGTGTTCTTTGTTACACTTTCAGAATGATCCTTTTTAAAGCTGGAAATCTCTGCAGTCTATCACTGCCAAAAAGAAATGTTCTCCTCTGCCTCCTGAAGATAACTGACTGCTTGAAATGGAAACAACACCCAGTGATTCTTTGGGCCTGCTCATCCAGGTGCACAGGACTTTTTTCTTTCCAGGTCTGGGGTCTCAGTACGTTAGGTGACAGTGACTCTTTTTCCCACACAGGCAACCCTCCCCTCTCTATCTCATTTCTCTCCTGTTTCCTGGAAATCTTAAAATGCAAAGCAAACTTCCTTCCTTATGGTCATCTTCTAGTTAAACCTTTGAATAGATTTATTATAAGTTCATTCATTCATTCACCAGTCAGTATTGAGGGAGCATCCAAGTGCTGAGGATTTATTGTTGAAGAATTCAAGCTGAAGAAGCAGCTTACTAAATTGGGTATGGTGGCACAGGTCTATAATCTCTCTCAGCACTTGGGAGGGCGAGGCAAGAGGGTTTGGAATTCAAGGTCATCCTTGGCTACATAACGAGTTCTAGGCTAGCCTGAACTCCATGAGACCCTGTATCAAAAAACAAAAAGAAGAGGGGGGAGGAAGGAAGGGCAGCAAATTCTTAGTGAGAAAATATGTAAATATGGAGACCCTAAGGACTGAGTAGCCCAGCTCACCTTCATTGTTGTGCCTATGTCTCCAGTGCTTAGAAGCCTTGTTATTTTACCCATAGAAATATTCAGTGTAGGACTGGGGATGTAGCTCAGTTGATAGATGTTTGCCAAACATGTAGGAAGCCCTGGACTTGACCTTCAGCATAGAGTTTAGTGGTGCATACCATTAATCCTAGTACATGGGAGGGGGAGGCAAGAACAGGAGTGCAAGGCCATCCTGGGCTATATAGTTTAAGGTCAGTCTAGGCTATATGAGACCCTATCTTGGGGTCTCAAAGGAAAGGTATGGAGGTGGAGAAGAGAAGAGAGAGATCATGTGTTCATTCAGAAGGGAAGAAATATTAAACCAGGATGCACTACAGCAGACCTGATATTATTTTAAGTAGAAAGAATATATGCATATATACTATATATCCACTCATTGTTACTTGCAGTGACAGCAGCTAGCACTACTGGGTACTTCCTCTGCATCAGGCTGTGTTCTACATATAGTAACTTAATTTTACAGTCCTATTGTCTTTTAGTAGATGAAATCACTGGGCAGTAGGCTTAAGTAATAGAAGACATTAGAATTTGAAACTTAAGAAGCTAGAATATGCTGGGAGTGGTGGCACATGCCTTTAATCCCAGCACTTGGGAGGCAGAGGCAGGCAGATCTTTGTGAGTTCGAGGCCAGCCTGGTCTACATAGTGAGTTCCAAGACAGCTGGGGTTACAGAGAGACCCTGTCTCAAAAAGACCAAAAAAAAAAAAAAACCAAAAAAAGAGAAGCTAGAATATAAGTAAAATTTAAACCAACTAGATTAAGACTAGAAATTGGAGATACAGGTCAGTTGTAGAGCACTC